TACAAATAGTGGATAGGTGGACTTTAGATAAGAAAGTAGGGATTACATTAGGAGATGAAAGTTTGATAACACAGGTTAAAGATCAGAATAAGGCACATATAAAAAGAATTTATAATAGTTTAATAGAATTGGATTCGGAAACGGAATTGGTTAAAGATTGTATGGTAAAATGGGCTCAGAATATTCAGGAAGCAATCCCATTGGATTTATGGGAGATAATATGGATTAGAAATGTCAAATTTACACAGGCTTAAAATTTAAGAGAAAATTTTTACAAAATGTTTTATAGGTGGCACTTGGATCCTAAAAAGTTATCTTGTATGTACCCTAATTTACAGCCCAAATGTTGGAGGTGTGGTAGTTTTGATGCAACGTTTTTTCATATTTGGTGGACTTGTAAAAATATTAAGGCCTTTTGGATCATGATTTGGTGGAACATTCAAAATATTTTCAAAAGGAAGATAAAGTTTACTCCTCAACTATTTTTATTAGGGATTTTTGAGGATTTTGATGTTAAAGATACTGTTTTAATGTTGAATTTAATTACAGCAGCAAGGTTATTGATAGGTCAATATTGGAAGAAGGATTCGTTGCCTACATTAGAAGAATGGACATTTAAGGTTTCTAACTTAGCAGAAATGGCTGAAATTTCTGCTTATTTAAAGGATCACACACAAGAAAGATATATTATGGTATGGAGAAGATGGATAGATTACATTAAGATTAAATATGGAACTGAAAAGTTCCACTTATTTTATGATTAAATAATAAGTATTATTAATAATATTTAATTTTTTTATTATACAACAATTGATTATAAACTGATTTGTTTATGATATGTTACTAAGGTTTAAAAGGAGTTAAGGTTTAAGTATGATTTTATTGTTGTATAAATTGTTAAACTTGTTTAGCTTATGATTAATATATTTGTTAACTTAATTAGATTATGTTTAATATGTTTGAAATACCCTGTATTTGGCTCTGGGAAGTCGGGGGGTGGGGGTTGGGGGGAGGGTAAATGGGTTTATTTTGTAACTTTCAATAAAACTTTTTAAATAAATAAAAAAAAGAATTTATAATGTTTTAATAGAATTGGATTCTGAAACAGAGTTGGTTAAAGATTGCATGATCAAATGGGCGCAAAATATTCAAGAGCCGATTTTATTGGATACATGGGAGACAATTTGGGTTAAAAATGTAAAATTTACTCAAGCGCAAAATTTGAGAGAAAATTTTTATAAAATGTTTTATAGATGGCATTTGGATCCCCAAAAGTTGTCTCGCATGTATCCGAATTTACAGCCTAAATGTTGGAGATGTGGAAACTTATATGCAACCTATTTCCACATTTAGTGGACTTGTAGAGATATTAAAGCTTTTGGGATTAAGATTTGGTGGAATATTCAAAAGATTTTTAAGCAAAAGATTAAGTTTACTCCGCAATTATTTTTGTTGGGTATTACTGTAGATTTTAATGTTAAAGAAACTAATTTGATGTTGAACCTTATAACAGCTGCAAGATTATTGGTGGGGCAATATTGGAAGAAAAATTTGTTGCCTACTTTGGAAGAATGGATACTTAAAGTGTCTAATTTAGCAGATATTGTGAAGATCTCCGCCTATTTGAAGGACCACAAGAAAGATATATTATGGTTTGGAGAAGATGGATTGATTATATTCAGAAGAAATATGAAATTGAAAAGTATTATCTTGCTTTTGAGTAGATTTTAGATAATTATTAATATTTTTAATTATATTATTATTTTTGACTTAATTTGTTAATATTTGTATTGAGAAGGAGTTAAAGTGTGTTATGGTTTTGATTGATAGTATAGTTGGTTTATGTTCGTTGGATTATATTTGTTTAGTATTTTGTTTTACCCTGTAATCAGCTCTGGGAAGTGGGGGAGGGGGGGAAGGGGTGGGGGGTTATATTGTAATAAATTTATAAAACTTTTAATAAAAAAAAGAAAAAGGCACAACAAAAAATGTTGTTCTTGTGTTAACTCAGAAAGTTAACTCAGATTGCCGAAGGATCTGCTGATATAGTTCTACAGAGGAATTACTGAGTCTGTCATTTGTATCTCCATAACTGTCCGGTTCGGCACAGCAGCCAAACAGGACAGGTACAGACTTCAACAGATAGAACTGTGGGAAAAAACAATTGCAGTCTGCCTTCCATTGAGGATCTATACACTGTATGAAACAAAAAGAAGGCTGACAAAATAATACAGACCCCTCACATCCTAGACATAAACTATTTCAACTTCTCCCCTCAATATGCTGCTATAGGGCATTGCATGCCAAAACAATTAAGACACAAAAATAGTTTTTCCCCCCGTACCATCACTCTGCTGCACACCTTAATTCACACAGCACTGTCTTATGTCTATTACCCATGTAGTTGGGCAGTAAATATTATCCTCCTCATCTTTCCAAGTACCTTCTATTGGTATCTATGATTTATCATTGGTTGTATCTTATGATTAATGATTGTAACTATGAACTATCATATATGATCTATCACTTTGTTTTTGTATGTACACTGAGAGCTTATGCACCAGAAATTCCTTGTGTGTCCAATCACACTTGACCAATAAAAAATTCTATTTTGTTCTTTCTATTCTATTCAGCATATATGCCTACTAAAATTTGTGCATAGAAGATGAACAATTGGTAATTGCATTTCTGAAGGAAAAGTTGAACAGCATGAGAATTGGCTTTAATTGGACAATTCTCATGCTGTTCAATTTTTCAAATCCAGCCTGCAATCTGATTTTGAATCCTTTTCTACTTGCTGCTGCATGTGACTTCAGGATTGATCTGTGCCATTCACTGTCTCTGAGTGCAGGAATGGAAGATGCTCTTATCCACTCTCAAACTATTGCAATTTTTTTTCCAGCTGCACTTCAAAAAAGTTCCATCATGAGCTATCTTAAGCCCTTCAAAGCACATGATTTGCAATGGTTCATTCTAATTTTATCACAGCCCTAACTCCAACTGGCCAGCAGCATGCCCCTTCTCCTCCAGCAGCTGATCATTGCCATTTTGTCCTGGGCTCCCAAAATACGTTTTCAACAGGTTAGCAAGAATCAATTTTCAGTGTCCTGCCCCTTAAGTCCGCCACCTTTCCTTGCCCAGTGTTTTCCTACCTACTCCAGAAGCTCAACACTTCATTCCAGTTTTGCAATTTCCAGTGGCTATTTTTTCCATTTCTAGCCAGGCTGGATGAAGGATGCTGCTCTTGCTCCCTTATTTACTGCCCATAATACCCAACAGGTATTTCTACTTGATTTTATATGTTTAAAAACTACAGAGTAATCAGGTCCTGTAATTATTATAATCAATCTAGCCCTGTTGTCAAATTGTGGCAATCTGAATGGAAATTTCCAGACTCAGCTTCAGAAATACCCTGGAGCAACAACCGGGATTCAGAGTGCTATGTGAGATTGCGTTTGGTCCAGATAGGTTTCTCTTTGCTGGCTTAGAGATGCCAAACAGTGTAAGAGTTTAAGGGTGAAGTGTATAAATAAAGAAGCATGCTTACCTAAATGTATGTTGATTTTAAAGCAACATTTTAAGTTCACCGCCATTTCAAACTTTTGAATAAAGAAACTTAATAAGTTTTTTAAGCCAAAATTTTTAAAGAAATTTTTCTTCTTTTTAAGAAGAGATTGAAGAACCATTTGTCTAAAATGATAGAGTTTCCTGCTTGAACAGGGAATTGGACTAGAAGACCTCCAAGGTCCCTTCCAACTCAGTTATTTTGTTAAATAATGGTTTTCAGTAGTGTCTTAATTTACTAGCATTTACCATTCATAGAACATAGAATCATAGAGTTGGAGGGGACAGTAACTGTAACAGTATAATAGAGTTGGAAGAGATCTTGAGGTCTTCTAGTCAACCCCCCCCCCTGCCTAAGGCAGGAGACACTATACCATCCCAGACAAATGGATGTCCAATCTTTTCTTGAAAAGCTCCAGCAATAGAGCAGCCACAAGTCGGGAAGCAAGCTGTTTCATTGATTGATTCTTTCTGTCAGGAAATTTCTTCTTAGTTCCAAATGTGATTTCTTTTTAACAAACTTCCATCCATTCTTTGAATGTTTTGCAAGAATCTGGATGACCACTAGATCATACAATTCTAATTCTCTGCTGTCATTTAATGATGTCCAGGCTTTTTCACTCCAGAATTGGTAGTCCTAATATATTAGAATTATATATATTTTTTATAGTAAGACAAATATACAGGAAAACCAAATCATAATTTCCAGGGCAGGCAATTAAACAATTGCATTTTTATTCAGTATAAAGGGCAACTAAAAGGATAAACAAAGTAAATATGAATTAGCCAAAATATGGTTGATTGCTTTACTTGGGGGTTTAGTATGCTATCTAAAGCCATCAACTGAATAAAGCATAGTTAACTTTAAAAAATCATGGTGTGCTGCCTTTAGCAAAAGCTGCCTAGAAATAATTTTACTGATGAGGCTATATGGGGTGAGTAGTTAATCATCTATTATGTAATATCTACTGTCCCCGGTCCTACCAGCTGCGCTCAGATATAGGAAGCCCGTTTGAGGTACGAACATCACAACATCAGTGCGCATCTAAACACTAAGTCTTCTGTTCGCACGAAGATTTTAATGCAGAAAGCCTGCCATATCTGAAATAATTTTATTATTCCATTAGATGTATTATTTTTGTTTCTAGATTTCTTAGCAAAAAATTAAAATCATAGATTCAGTTAAAAGTATTTTTGCTACAATCTTATTCCTCAATTTTAAAAAAAATGCTACTTCAACTTGCCAACAAATGAGCTACATCCTTTCCTTCTATCAGGGTAAAAACAAACTCCTCAAATTACTCAAAGAATTAAGGCCAACGTTCTACCTCTTGAAAGAAAGCATACTTTCCAGAAAGAAAGGATCCCAGCCACGCGCGTCAGTCACACCCATTGAGCATGCGTGGAAAATAAAACACATGGGGACATCCGCGTAGACGCGCATGCTCCTAGCACCTTATCTGCAATGGTGTGCATCGTTTTCGTGCTTGCTCTTGTGGGAAGTTGTGGAGCTTCGTTGTGTCATGTCGGCGGCTTCTAAGGCAGCCCTGGGGGTTTCTGTCCTTCTCTCGGGCGGAGCCATTATTGGTGTCCACATCCAACAGAGACGTCTCAGAGAGGTAATGTCAAAAGATTTTTCATACATTACAAGCTCCTGCTTCCTCATTGAATTTGGGAGCCATTTTTCTCTCTCGGGTCAGAGGTAATAGCTATTTCATAGAAAAACCATGGAGGAATCTGCGGTTTTATATTACTGTACTAGGGAAGCTGCAAAAAGTTTTTTTTTTAAAGTATATGTAATTCCGTTTCTCTTTCAAGAAAAAAACGCATTAAAAGATTTTTCCTTCCAATATCTCTTCTGTGAAGAAAAGTAAGGGAGTTTCTAAATGTATGTTAGTACATTCTAAGGCTTATTTTGAATTTGGACTGGGAAGAACAATTTTACTTTTGCTCAACCTGAAGGCTATGTTGTAAGGTTTTTGTTTTCTTCCGGAAATCTAAACAAGCCGTTATCATCTTCCTAATTAAGGTATCTTATAAAAAACAAGCAATAACTTGTATCTTTGTATTACATTTTTGGTTTTGGTTAGGGATATAATTTACAATGGTTTACCCTCATTTTCATGCAGAAGAAGAAAATAACATTAAAACAGCATTGTTCCCCAAATTAATTCCATTTAAGTATTTTGAGAATTAAACAATGTTAGAGAATGAGAAGTTTGAGCCAATGACTGCTAAAAGGAATCTTCATAAAAGTTTATAGGAAACTGAAAAATTCCCTGGAAAGTTGGTATCCATTTCTCAAAAACTGGACCTGTATAATAAGTATAGTAAGTATAATATATTTAATAAATAATCAACTTCAGTCGTATTTTTACTTCATCCTTTTTTTGCTAACATTTCTATTTTTCTCTGGTTTCTTATTAAAGCAATACATAATAGTATTAGTACTAGTTTCATTTTTCTGTTAAATAGTCTTTTAATTTCTGATTTCCCACAAGTGAAGCTAAGGTTTTTATGTTCTATTTTGTGCATATCCCAAAAATTAAAGATAGTTCTTACTTATTGATGGCAACTGGGACCAGCAACTCCATCTCAACATTCCATAGTCCTGATCTTCATGTACCAACTTATGACACAGTTTTGCCAGTCACTTTGTTAGGCAAATCCTGTATGATTGCAGCATCCCACAGTCTTGTGGTTGTCGTTTTCTCTCCGTCCTAGGAAGGAAACAATGGCAAATCATTTCTGAAAAACTTTGCCAAGAAAACTGCAAGACTATCCAAGCAGTTTCCATAATTGAATGGAAGAAAAAATATTTTGCATAGATATTATATTCTAACCTAGAGAAACTATTAACAGTACTCCACTAGGGAGATATGGTGGGACTGACAGGAAATGAGAGGATCAGTTATATTGTCCAGGATTAGTAGCTGCCCCAAATTCAATGGAACAGCTTCCCAAAGAGTCAACCGATATTCATGACTGATCTTCAAACGTTATAGCCCTTGCAGTGCCTCTTTGGTCATGTGATCAAAATTCAGACATTTGGTAGCCTGTCTGCATTTATGACTGTAGTATGCCCTTCAACTCTCCTCACTTGCCCAATTTTCCCGCTAACTCTGCCCTCCACCACTACTGTCTTTTGTCCTTGCGCCCTGCACCCTCCCCACACCTCAGTGGGAGGAAGAAGATGGCAACGGTTATCTGGGAATTGCGGGGTGGCAGGCAGCAAGGGCAGTGGAATGCAGAGTGACCAAAAAGGCAGAGATAAAGGGAGTTGGGTTGGGGAAGTTAAAGTGAAGGGGAGCATGCCATGGCAGGATAAACATGAGAACCTCACCTAATAAGAGCATAGTCCTGGCCTAACTACTGCAACCAGGACTACCAAAACTGCTGTTGCTAAATGGTGTGGTCATGTGATGTTTCGCCTAACAGATAGTCCTCAAACAACAATCCGAATGGGAAGCAAAGCAGGCCTCATTGTTCCTGGGCTACATGGTGCAATCCTGGAAGTGGTTGCCATTTTTAGGGAAGCTGCCCTGAATAGTGAGCGCTTTGAAAATGGTGGCTGCTCCTGGAATCATGCCATGCAGCCCAGACATAGTGAGGCCTGTTTTGCTTCCATAACATCTCCAGAGATCTTCAAAAGGTAAGTGAGGAGGTTGAGGCCTGAAAGGATGGGATGCAGGCCCAAGGCCTGCAGGACCCAATGGGGAGATAGGGGGGGGGGGTGCTTGCAGTCAGTCATAAGGGCAAGCGACTGTACGGGTGCTGCAAAAGTCATAACTTTGGAACTAAGTCATAAGTAGCTTTTGGGGGGTCCACTGTAACTTTGAACAGTCACTAAACAATTGGTTTTAAGTTGACTATCTATGGTTCTTTACTTACAACCAGTGGTGGGATTCAGCCGGTTCGCACCACTTTGGCAGAACCGATAGCTAATTTTTTGTTGCCCAGACCCAGAATGGACTTCCGGAAGCAGCATCCACACAGAGAATCAGTTGTTCACATATTTGAATCCCACCACTGCGTACAACCATTTGTTTAGCAAACTTTCAAAATGATAATGGCACTGAAAAAAGTAACTTATGACCAGTCCTTGTACTTACAGCTATTTGCAACATCCCCATTGTCATGTGATCAGAATTTGAACACTTGGAAACTGGCATCTATTCCAGTGTCTCAGAGTCATGTGATCATCATTTGTGGCCTTCCCAGCTGGCTTCCGACAAAGTCAGTAGAGGAAGCTGTATTCATTTAATGACCATGGTATTCACTTAACTGCAGTGAATCACTTAACAACTGGGGCAAAAAAAGATAAAATCACATACAAGTCACTTAACCACCTTCTTAGCAATGGAAATTCTGATGTCAATTGCGGTTGTAAGTTGAGAACTACTTGTATATGAGTAGAGGTAGTCGTCAACATATGATCACTTGTTCAATGACCATTCAAATTTATGATGGCCCTGAATGAAGAAACTTACAACTATGCCTGAAGTTATAGCCATTGAAGTGCACTTGTAGTCACATAATCAGAATTTGGGCTCTTGGCAGTCTGCCTGTACTTATAATTGCAATGGCACTCTGAGCACCCCCCCCCCCAACCATCTCTTTCCTCTGATCTATCTATGCCTTGTGGCTTCCCTGCTCATGGCAGCAGGCCTGGGGCTGAAGAAGCCTAGTGCCTTCAGCAGTCTCAGCCATCTGCAACACCCCATGCCTCTACTTCAGCCCCAGTGCTGCCACTGCCGCTGAGCAATGTCATGTCAAGCCCCATACTGCAGCCAGCTACATAAGCACCAGTGCACAAAGCTCCAGTGTTGCCTGTCATGCTGTATTCCTCAGACCCTGCCATGCTCAACTGATCACAATTTTCCTCCTGGTGAAGCAGTTGACCCTATTGCCAGGCCTCAAGAAGAAGGCTTGGTGTGGCCAATAACTGCTCCACATGCAGTAGGGTCAGGCCTGATGTGCCTTAGCATTGAAAAAAAAAATGGTGAAGATCAGCTGATTGTGGCAGGGTAGCTGATTGGAACACACCGCACTGCTGGGCCAGTGGGGTAGCTGATGTGGCTGAGGCTCACTCCATGCTGCTGGCCTGGATTGAGATGGCTAATGCTTCCAGGGATGGTTGCAACTTTGTTTAGCACTATGACTCAGGCATCTTGCACTGTACCACATCAAGAAGCCCCTGAGCCAAGCATATTCTTTCCCAACCTATCTGTGCTTGTGGCATACTGCAGCACCCCCAGTTTGCACGTAACCTATGCTGCCCCCCCCTCTGTACTCTGTGTTTCTTATTGAAAGGACCTCATTCAGAGCTGTGTGACATCTTGTTTATGACCACGTTGCTTAGTGATGGAAATTTGATCCCAGTTATAAGTCAAGCACTATTATATTTTTTGCTTATTGTATATTTTTTTATATCTTTAAGAATCTGTAATCTAATTAATGTATAATTATAATCTATGCATATCTGATGAAACCTACATTGCAATATATATTAGTTTTAAAGTATTCTTAATTTTATAGCAAGTACGATGGATATTTTCCAAACTTTTAATAATATTATATCTTTTTTCAGAAGTTACATGAAGGCGTGTACAGAGATCTTGAGAGACAGAAATACAAGGAACATTTTAATATTTTAGATAAACATACTACTTTGGCCATACAACTTGAAACAGAAAATAGCAAAATGCTAATGGCAAGAAAATCCTAAGCGTGAAAAGAATTATCATTATAATTTTCCGTTACATAATCTTATCATATTTACCAAGTCAATCATTATTCTTTTTAAATATTAGAAGAAAACATTTTTATATAGTGAAAATAATTCTCCATAGGCATAATGGATAAAAATGCATACATGAGTGACATGATGACTTGTCATGATGATGAAGCTACAAGAACATCTCCTTCAGAAGGGCTGGAAGAGGGGGAAGTAGAAGGAGAGACTCTTCTTATAGTAGAATCTGAAGATCAGGCATCAGTGGATCTGAGCCATGATCAAAGTGGAGACTCTGTGAATAGTGATGAAGGAGATACATCATGGACAGAGGAGTTATCTTATTACTGTGAAAGATGTCAGAAATGGTTGCCAACAAGTAAGACTTCTTAATTCTTTATATTGTGTCCTTTGTGAATTGGAGTTTCTCAAATTTACAGTTTTTATTCTGTTTTGAACGTAAGCACACATGTCCATGAAGAATAGTGTCTTAACACAAGTTTAGGTATTCTGCTTTAACCATCTGGTGTTTCTTAGAAATGATCAATTAGTTTTGTATGAACTGCAGAAGTCTGGAAATGTACTTCCTGAGGTAAACAACATTGAAATAATTTATGCTTACTCCAAAATAAATAACAGATCCTAGTCCTCTTAAGACACAAATAAATTGGGTATGTTTAGTTTAATGAAGAGAAGGATGAGGGGTGACATGATAGCAGTGTTCCAATATCTCAGGGGCTACCACATAGAAGAGGGAATCAAGCTATTCTTTAAAGCATCTGCAGGCAGGACAAGAAGCAACAGATGGAAACTAACCAAAGAGAGAAGCAACCTAGAACTAAGGAGAAATTTCCTGATAGAACAATTAATCAGTAGAACAACTTACCTCTTGAAAATGAATGCTCCAACACTGGAAGTTTTTAAGAAGAGACTGGACAGCCATTTGTCTGAAATGGTATAGGGTTTCCTGCCTGAGCATGGGGTTGGACTAGATGACTTCCAAGGTCTCTTCCAACATCATCATCATCATCATCATCATCATTATTATTATTATTATTATTATTATTATTATTATTTATTCATTAGACATGAACCTCAGTCAACTGAACATTCAAATTAGCTGGCGCTGATGGTTGACATGGGTTGCTACTAGCATCCTAGGTGCCAACCAGGTATCTCCTTAAAATATAAGATGTTCTGAGTAGCGCAGTTTTTTGTAACATTGCTGGAGTTATTGCAGGAAGCTGCAGTTTCTTCATGTATTTTGCAAAGTTTTTGGACATAGTTCCCAGTGCCCCGATGACAATGGGTATTACTGTTACACGTTTCATCCATAATCGTGCAGTTTTGATGGCCAGGTCGCGATATTTCGTAATTTTTTCCAGTTCTTTTTCTTCGACTTGAGCTAGTCACTTTTTCTCAGGCCTGCAAAGGAGACAATAGCAAACTACTTCTGAAAAAAACTTGCCAAGAAAATTGCAGGGATTTGTCTAGACTCTAGGCAATTTCCAAAAATCAGACATGATTGAATTGAAAAAAAGAACACTTTGTAAAATACCTCATAATGATGTGACTTACACTGTTTTTGTGGAGAAAAAAGGACTGATTTTTATTTACAGGTCATACAAGAGAGCAGATCACCTATCTTAAAGGTGATAACTTTTTCAAGTTTACTTGCTCTGATTGCTCAGAAGATGGGAAGGAGCAATTTGAACGGTTGAAGCTAACATGGCAACAAGTAAGTAGCAAGCTAATTAATATAGTTTAAATAAGGTAATGATAAAATAGTTCAAATTTCTTTATACGTTAACATTAGAAGAGTTTTTTAAAGTATTTCTTTCAATACCCTTTTCAGTAAACAATGTTTCTTTTCATGTCTGTGTGTGAGTGTGTGTGTATGTATATGTATTTAAAGATTATTTGAGGGTAGTCGCAAAATATAATACCAACTATACTTAAAGGAGAATAGAAAAGTAAATAATGCAAGAAAAAAGAATAAGGAGAAAATCAGAAAGAGAAAAATATATAAAGAAGTTACTTCTAGCCTTTATCACAACTATAATGAAATTTAGTGATTCTTCACCCCCTCTAAGGTTACAGACATTTTTTTCTATCTTCTATCACTTTTATCCCATATTCCATCTCTTACCTATAAATAAATCCATAAAATTTCCATCTATTCAACCCTAATGTCAGCAGAAGGTCTGTAAAGGGTTGCCTGAGATATCATATCTTGTTTTGATCAAATGAACCAACTTTATATACCTTACTTTCCCTTTTAACAGTCTTAATTTTTAATTCACTCAAATATTGTAGGATTCAATTTCTCTTCATTTCCTTTATGTCCAAGAATTTTTCAAGATTTTTAACAAGCCTTTTTTGTAAATCCAGTGGGGGGGGGGAAAATTATCAAGATTTGTCTTTAAATTTTAAATCCTCAGCCAATTTCTTTTGTAGATCCAGTGAAACATCCTCTTCTAAATCATTCCCTTAGTAAATATTTTGGGCATGGCTTATCAATAGATGCAGATCTTTACTGACATTGTTGATATTGTGGCTACTATTTTTAATTTCCTTCAGTATGTTCACTGTTAGAATATTTACAACATTTTGCAGGTTAGTAAATCTTTCCTATACTTAAACTTTAGTCTCTTTGTCCAATTTTTGAAATCATGAAATTGCTTATGTTTATTTTGTCATGTGAAAACCAAAACAATCTGTTTCCCACAAAGAATGTTTATTTTTAAAATTAATTCCAAAAACATATTGTAAATGTTTCAATTTTCCCATTTTATTTGGATCCTTAATTTGTTTACAATTTTCTAAGATCAAAATTATATTTAATATTTTGCTATTTACTTCAAATTCTTTAAATTCTTAAACCTATGATTAAAATTTTCTTCATTTAGAACTGAAGGTACTCATCTAGTGTTTTCAAACTTGTCAGGCCAAAAGTCTCTAATAGTCTGGAAGTGGTTAATGACCAATTTCTGAAACTGATTAGAAACTAAGGTTTTGTAAACCTAATGTTCTTTAGAAGTCTGTGCTGCAATTGTGAACAAAATGCCTAGTCCATAGCCTCTCAGCCCTCAAACCTATTGAAAATTGCTGTCCTGTGGTCTTCTTACAAAAAGTAACTGTCCAGAGCACATGTGGGCAGTCTCCTGTCCTTTCTTTATACAGAGAAAGTTCCAAGGAACTAGTCTATTCACTGGTTCCCTGCTCTTTGCCACAGCTGCTGGCTCTGCTTTTGTGAGTCTACAGTTCACCATACCTCCCCCAGAAGTCCTAGAATTAAAATATGTTTGATTGTTGGTTATGTTAGTCTATGCTTGTTCTCAATGTAAACAGTTTTCACTTTCAAACATTTTAAATCTCTTCTCATCCCACTTATAATAAACTGTACTCTGCCATTCTGTAACTTGAATCTATTAGTTCACACTGATTCTTGGACGATAGAACAGAGGGTATGCCTTTTGTGTAGCAAGCCTACATTTTTGTGTATAAAGAATTCTTGTTACAGTTAGCATTTACATTAACGAAGTTCCAATTATTTTTGTAATTGTCCAATATCCTAAAAGTCCTTTAGTTTCAACTTTATATTCATTTTAAAAATCATTTGCATTAAAATATGAATCTGGCCCCAATATTTCTTTGCTTATCACAAGTACACTGAAGATAACAAGTTCCTTGCCCTCATAAAGATGATAAGATGATAAAAATGCTTCTTGCAATCCTGGGGAGCAGAGACATAATAATCTCTTCAAAAGTTTGAAAAACCCCTAAACAAGCACAGAGTTGCACCCATAGGAAAATGGCTGAATAAAAAGAGGACTTGGAGAGAAGAGACAGCTGTGGAAAACAAAGTTTTACTTGGATGCAGTTTTATTCTGGTGAGTTCAGCTGAGTAGAGAGGAACCCTTCCCTTTGTTATGCTGTGTGTAGGGGGGGGGGGAGAGGAAAATCACAGCAACTCAGCATTTATTATATCTTTTCTCTATAAAAACTGTACTCTTTTAAATTTTTCAATATTAACTGCATAGTTCTTTTTATCAATAACTGTGCATACTTTAAAAGGTAAAATTGAAAAGTGATTTAGGTGTATATCTGTTTGCAAAGGTGTTTCTTTTCTCCAAGTACAAGTACTTTACATTTATACAGTGAGGGGAAAAATTATTTGATCTCCTGCTGATTTTGTTTGCTCACTGATAAAAAAATGATCTTAATGGTAATAGTGAGAGACAGCATAACAATAAAAACATCCAGAAAAACGCATTTCAAAAAAGTTATAAATTGATTTGCATTTTAATGAGTGTAATAAATATTTGACCTCTTTGCATAACACGACTTAATACTTGGTGGCAAAGCCCTTGTTGGCAATCACAGAGGTCAGACGTTTCTTGTAGTTGGCCACCAGGTTTGCACATACCTCAGGAGGGATTTTGTCCCACTCCTCTTTGCAGATCCTCTCCAAGTCATTAAGGTTTTGAGGCGGAGTTTGGCAGCTCGAACCTTCAGCTCCCTCCACAGATTTTCTATGGGATTTAGGTCTGGAGACTGACTAGGCCACTCCAGGTCCTTAAAGTGCTTCTTCTTGAGCCACTCCTTTGTTGCCTTGGCCATGAGTTTTGGGTCATTGCCATGCTGGAATACCCATCCACAACCCATTTTCAATGCCCTGGCTGAGGGACGGAGGTTCTCACCCAAGATTTGACAGTACATGGCCCTGTCCACCATCTCTTTGATGCGATGAAGCTGTCCTGTTCCCTTAGCAGAAAAGCACTCCCAAAGCATAATGTTTCCATCTCCATGTTTGATGGTGGGGTTAGTGTTCTTGGGATCACAGGCAGCATTCTTCCTCCAAACATGGCGAATTGAGTTGATGCTAAAGAGCTCAATTTTGGTCTCATCTGACCACAACACTCACCCCAGTTCTCTGAATCATTCAGATGTTCATTGGCAAACTTCAGACGGGCCTGTATGTGCGCTTTCTTGAGTAGGGGGACCTTGCAGGCACT